GGTTCTGGTGACCATGGCAGGCCTCAGTGGGAGTTATTCTAAGAACACAACATATGATCAGATCACTGAGGGACACTTTACATGGCTCTAAAAAATGAACCATCTGACAGTTTATGACAGCTCTGCCTGTTCCAGCCAAGGGAGGAGGGCTAGTCTTTGCTGACACTGCAGCCAGGGTTGTGAAACAAAGAAAGTGCTTTCCAGAGGCTGCGAACCTACAGGCTTCCAGCTGCATCATACCTGCTTACATCTAACTTCTGATAAGAAAAAAACAAAAGACATTTAGGACTTGGAGTTTTGATTCATGGTAATTTAATACCTTCTTGCTGCAGTTTCCCGGGCTTGGCAATTTGCATAGTTCTATATTTAGTAATCCCTGTGATGCTAATGTCTTTGTAGAGTGATCTGGCGTTTTTTGCTACCAGTATCTTTATTAGCTTAATATGCCCTGTCACCTGTCTGTTTTTTCCCTGGCTTTGTGGGGACACACTTCTGGAAGAAGACTGTATGAGAGGTGATGGCAAGTGGGAAGTGAATTTTTAAAACTGGAAAATTTGAGGATCCACATTTGAATGCTCTCTCTAGAGAATTTCCATAGCAGGTTCTAAAATGTGCAATTTACACAAGAATTTCCCTTCCCTCTTGTCTTCCCTACCCAAGTACATGGCCTGAGAGAGCTTTGCAATTTTTGCTGATGTTGTCAAACAGCTAAACACACACTTAGGGAAACACCTCCCACTTTCCCAGCATTAAATACAGCTTATTGCCTCTCCTCCCCACTTCCTAGTCTCAGCTTCCCTTAGGACCTCCTAATTCTTTGATGAGGTGCTGGGTGGTGCAGGCGGTTGGAGTCACTGTGTAAAGGTTTCTTTCTGCCAATCCTTGCAGAAGAAACCAGAGGGTTTTTTCCTCTGGTACTCCTTTCTTCTTGATGCTCCTCTGTTCCTACATGGGTTCTTGATGGGCTGCAGGCCTTTCAGTGTTATCCCTGCTCTGACATGGGTCCTCCATGGGCTGCAGTTGCCCCGAAGTGTACTTGGAGCACCCCTTTCCAAGAGTACTTTTCCAGCCATGTTCCCAACAATGTGCCCCACCACGTCTCCTTTTCTCCTTCCTTTTCTCCAAATGTGTCTTTTTACATATCGCACATTTCTCCTTCTGTGCATCCTCATGTCTCCTTTTTGCAGTTCCTTTTGTGTGTTTCCTGCCCCTAATGCCAATTGCCCTTTCCAAAATGCTTGAGCAAAGGTAGCTTGTGCTCCTCTGACTGGCTGAGGTTTTGAGTGGTGGTTGTTTTCATCCATTTTGGAGATGGCTGGAATCAACTGTGACCGGCACAGGGCTGTTCATGGCATCCTCTCACACAGATTATCCCTGCAGCCCTCTACTGCTGAAGCAGAATGGTGCTCTGTCAGATTGCTCAGTCTGTATAGTTCCTTGACTTTCATGGAAACACAAAAAAGCTAAACTTGCTCCATAATATTTTATTTATTATATCTAGCTGAGAATCCATAGTTTTGCAGGGATGACCCATATTTGAGCCAGTGTCTGGAGAGTTTCCACATGTTCAGATTGTTACTATAGCCCAGTATGTACCCTTTAAAAGTTTGCCTGAAATTCTCCACATCCACTACTTATCAAGGCTAGTTTTTCTTCTCTCTTCCATTAACTCGTTCCCCTTGCCCCTCAGAGGCTTCTCTTGGTATATATAAATTTTCCTTCTTGTTTCTTTATAAATAATGGGATTTGACCACCTTGTTTTGTTCTGCCCATTTCCCACTTCTGACATGTGTCAAACTGTCCTTCTGAAATTTCATATATGCTGGCATCTGTGTGAGAAAAATCACTTCAGTTGTTTCTTACCTTTCAACTTAGATCCATGTCCAACAGATGGAGGCTTTGAAAAGCCATAAATATTATTCTTGGCACTAGAAAAAGGTGCTGTGGGTGTGTGTTGCTGGTAATTGGTCTCGGCTTTGTAAAATGGTTACATTGGTTGGAAAAGCAGCCAGGTGGAAGGTAACATAACAGCATCTGTTCACATCCAACTCTCCTGGGCATGTCACCGTGCTAATGCTGAAACTGTGGGAACCAAAGAGGTCAGCGGCCACATGCTGGGCATTGTGTTTCTGGCACAGAAATAGTTTCTAATTTGTGTATAGAGGAGCTGGAGCTGTTTAATTTCTCAGCTACAGACCTGATTCTTCTCTCAGGGGAATAAGGAGAGCTTCTGTAATGACACCATTAGGAAAAGCTTGAGATCTGTAAATGTAAAATGCTTTCCCATCCCTATGTGTGCTTTGGTTATGTTTCATGGACACAGCCTAAATGCAGTCATGGACATTTACATTCTTCTGTTACAGAAACGGATGGAATTAGAAGCTTTGCCAGCCCTTCCTTAAAGGGCTGGGTGGTCAATCTCTAACACAGAGTCTCTCCTTGCATTCTTTTTTTTCAGGGTTGAATTAAACAAGGGTTTGAAAAAAAACCCAAACAAACAAGTGACAACTTTTTAAATGGAATATTAAACTACTGGAATAAATACTGCATCTGTTTTCACTGCTTGCTTTTTCAAAGTCCGTAGAAAACACTACTTTTATAATTTTGTTACAAACAAACTTAACAAGAGCTGTGGCTTTGCTTCCCAGTTTATTCCTACTTCATTCCTCAAACACTTGCAGCCATATAAGCTATCTCACAGCCTTGCACTTCCCACTCCAACTTCTTATCAGGGTACTGTATCGCTACTAGTGTGGTCACCACAAATATATGATTTTGCAGAGCCTGCTTTTTCTGTCATGTTTTCTGCCTTGAACCAGCCTAGAATTCAGATGTATAGCTGCTGCTTTTCTGTTCCTGCTCTTTATTCCTCCATCTCCAGGAAGAGAATAAAATGTGTTTCTGCTTAGATTTGATACATGGGAGTCAGTGTATGGCACCTGCATAGGCTGCCTCATGTCTTGGCATCCACTCTCAAACAGTTCTGTGATGCTAGCTGGGACTTGGGTCTAAGCTTGCTTCTCCTTGTAGCTCAGTCTTCTCTGCTTCTCTTCCTGATTTTCAAACGCTGGACCCAAGTCTTCTGCAGTTTCCTGCTCTCATTCCAAGCAATTTCAAATTCTGTGCCAGTGACCCTGTAGCTTCATGTTTCGTTAGCCATTTCATTCATGTAGCTGTTAATACCATTACCCTCATCTATCACCATGACCATCTTTTCTTTGCATCTCCGCACTGGCCTCTCCTTACATGTCAAACATAAAACTACTTGTTTTCATTTCCCTTGGCCCTGAAGGGCATAGTCTCACTGTGTCATTTCTCAAAAATCAAGGTGTAAAACCTAACTGGTTTCAGTGCCTGCAATGTGTGCTTGTTCCATAACCGGACAAGGATTCCTTCACCTCTCCCAGCCAGTGCCCCACCTTCATCCTTCATGTTGTGGGAGCTTCCCATAATCTTCCACAAAGCTAAGTTTCCTTCTCTAGATCTCTTCTGAAGAATGCTCCTTTTTTTTTTTTTTGAATGCCTGCAAGAGCCTGAAAGCACTTTCAATTCACTGTATCATGTCACACTGATAAATTCTCTGTGGCTGTTTCCGTATAATTCCCCATTGTTGTTTATTTTCTTGTACTTAGATTCACAGAATGACAGACATGTTTAGGTTGGAAGGGATCTCTTCAGATTGTCTAGTCTGCTGCTACTGCTCAAGCAGTGTCAGCTACAGCAGGTTGCCCAGGATTGTGTCCAGTCCAATTGTCTCCAAGGATGGAGACTCTACAGCCTCTCTGGCAGCCTGTGCCAGTTTTTGACCACCATTGCAGTAAAAAAGTTGAGCTTTCTCTCTTTTTTTTTTTTTTTTTTTTTTAAATTGTTTTCAGATGGCATTTAATTTTTTTAGTTTGTGCTTGTTGTTTCTTGTCCTATCACTGGGCACTATTGGGAGGAGGCTGGCTCCCTCTCATTGCCTCCTGTCAGGTATTTATATGCATTGACAAAAACTCCCTCTGAGTCTTCTCCAGGCTGAACAGTCCCAGCTCTCTCATATGAAAGATTCTCCAGTCTCTTAATCACTTTTGTACACCTTGTGCTGGACTGACTGCAGTACATCCACATCTCTCTTGTGCCAAGGAGTCCTGAACTGGTCACAGTACTCCAGATGTTGCCCCAGCAACATCTACTGCTGAGTAGAGATGAAGGATCACCTCCCTTAGCCTGTTGGCAGCAATCCTCCTAATGCAGCCTGGGATGCTTTTGGCCGCCTTTTCCATGAGGGTTCATTGTCAGCTTGTTGTCAGCCAGGACCCCATCCATTCAGCCACTTTTCAGTCCACCTCCTTGCCCGCTTATCTAACCCATACTTTGTCAGGTTGCCTGTGAGGATGCTATGGGAGGCAGAGTCTTACTAGAATCACAACATATACAGCTTTGTACTCATCCACCAAGCCAGTCACCTCCCAGTAGAAACTATCAGGTTGGTTAAGTATGTTTTCCCATTTGTAAATCTTTGTGGACTACTTCAAATCACTTTCTCATCCTTCATGTATCTGGAAACAGTTTCCAGGATTACATATTCCATCACCTCCACCACCACCATTGGGGTGAGGCTGACTGGTCTGTTATTTTCTTGATCTTCCTTCTTACCTTTCTGAATGTTTTAGTGTTAGTGACTTTCCTTTTTATTCTTTGTACTGGCAATCTTGATCATGTTTACAGCTTCTACCCACTATGGTAATTTAATTATTTATCAAAACATATGATTCTCCTTTTTATTGGTAATTTTAAGCTATACAGATGCAAGCTGGGAAATAGAATTTGCAGCCCAATGTTCTGCTCCTAAAACTAAGACCTCTACCATGTGAACTAGTGAGTATCTCTCTAAGATAGACAATAGCGTGACAGTGTCATTCCAGTGCTGACGTTTATAGATAGTTAATTCCACCGTGCACCTTTTTCCTGGGTTCATAGCTTTCTAAACCTGCATTTGCATTATTTCTCTGTTCCAGGCCGAAATGAGCTGATTGCCCGCTATATTAAGCTGAGAACAGGGAAAACACGCACAAGGAAACAGGTAAGTGTGACGTTTTCCCTGTATACATTAGCTTATTTGAACCACTAGACATGATGAAGGCTTATAAGAACAAATTCCTTGCTCTTCACTTGCTCTTCGTTTCTGGCTTTGCTGGAAAGAGGTTATTGTGCTGAGCTGGTTAATAAGAATGGTTGGAACATTCAGCTCAGGCATTTTACAGTAGGATTGTAGTGCTCATGTTTCCCAACCACATTGTGACACCCGAATTTTTCTACTGGTAAATGGTGTGTGATTTTATGTGTTTGGCCTACTAATGAACGTTTCAGTGAATATCAGTGGTCCTCTGTGAAGGTTCTTTGCTCAGCCTAGACAGATGGACAGCAGTGGTGATTTTGAAAATGTCTGGCATGTGGGATATAAAAGGAATCTTTGTAATTTGGAAATGACCATTCAGGCTATGCTGGACAAAGCACTGAGCAACCTACACCTGCTTTGGGTAGGAGGTTGGTGGATGACAGCCAGAAGATCCTTCCAACCTAAGTTATTCTGATGCATTTCAGCCCACAATAGATATGGTGAAGTTCTGAGAGTCATTATATAGTGGCCATGGGTTTCCCTTCTTCCAAGAGGAGACCAAGATGGGGAGCAAGGAGATCAGAACTCTCAGTCCCTAGATTTAAGGATGGGTTCTTTAGTTTTAGAGGAGGTCTCTGTCTCAATAAAGACATTTGAATTGGAAAAGGCCTTAAATGATCTGTCTTTGCTGGTCCCTCACCTCATTTCATGACACTCAAGTTTTGTTCAGAAAAGCATTTCATTGCTATATCACACCCCCCCTCCCCCAACCCTAAATAAGTCCCTATTGCACAAGGTGCCTAAAGTATGTTTACTTCTGCAAGCAGCTACCAAGTACTCCTGGAATGAAGATGGATTTTGTCTTTTCATGCAGGTATCTAGTCACATCCAGGTCCTGGCAAGGCGGAAAGCTAGAGAGATCCAAGCCAAGCTCAAGGTATGACGGGTATCCTTTAACATATCACACAAGACCTCTGAGTCAGCCATTCCCTCATCCATTCCCTCTTTGAATAGCCTTAAAAAAGGGTGAGATTAGCCACTGAACTGTAGTAAGCCGGGGAGGAAAAGGTATTTCCCAGGAAGCGTTGTGCAAACACTTGTATTGTTGCATCTCTGTGACATCTGGAGCAATTCTATTTAAAGAATAATGAAACAATAACTTTAAATTTTGTGTGTCAGATTTCTACCTCCAGTTTACGCTGCTGTCATCCAAGTCTGAAAGACCCTTAGATTTGGGAGTATGTAAAGAGTGTTTACCTGAGAAGGAGGGGTTTATGGTTACAAATGCTGACCAGTAATCAGTCCCTGGTGTTGTGGTGGCCTTGGGAAAGGGCAGCATTACAGTTAATGCAGTGTGAGTTCCACATCTACTAATGGTAGTGATGAGGAGTTGCCCGTGAGAAAGTGTTCTGAGTTGGCATAGCCACTGAGAGGAAGCAGTAAAGCCAGCTGGCATCTTCTCAGGTAAAGTGGTGCCAGCTGAATAGACTTTGCCCCTTGATTAATTCAGACCCGATTTGAAGAGGCCTAGGCTAATGAGAAAGAAAATGGCTAACTACTTGCTTGAGCAAGTCCGTGTTTTCCTTTCTATAGGAAGAGCTCTGAGATCACACTAATGAACTGATAGCTACTGACATTTATTTCCACTCTGATTTGGAGCAGGGAGATGGTTTATGTGCTCAGACTGAATTGCCAGAAATGACAAGAAGGTCAAGTTTATGAGTGACAATTGCACCAAAGGGTTGTTCCCTGTTAGAATGTGAACCATCCAGAAAGGGCTTGCCAAGCAGGATGTGGGGTCTGGTCCTTGTTATGTATTACTGAGACAGCCAGAGAAGGAAAGTTCATGCTGACCTTCCTGATTTGGTATGGCAGTAAGTGATCCAGAGGGAAGTGTGTTTACTTCTCTGATCTTCCATTCTTCAGGTGATGATGAGGATCTTAACAGCCCCATCCAGCCCTGACTGTTGAGTGGACAGACAGCTGTTAATATGTGCTGCTTCTTGGCTGTCTGGGCAACTCCTTGCTCTGGGCACCAGGAGAAGTGGACTGTCTGTGAATGAACTGCTGGCACTCAGTCTTGACCAGTGCTGAAGCGCATGCATCTCTCCTGCAAGCAGTGATTACCTCTAAGTCATGACTGCACCCCCCACATCCCATCCCCAGCTCCATTTTCTAAAGTGCTGTTGTGTCTGTCATTAGCCTGTTGTGTTTCCAGCTGCTCAGATAAAGAGAAGGAGCCACACATTACAACTATCTAATTCAGCGCTTCTAGGTAGGGCTGCATAAGCGTGAAACCTGCGGTGCTGTTAAGTGGTCAATTCAGGTGGAGGCCTGCTTGAGAGGCAAGTTCGAGCGAGTAGGAAACAACAACTGCCCGGGGTGTTAAAAGATTTACTGCCGCTTATATCTGTAACCTTGATTCCGTTCCTTGCATGTCACAGCTCTGGGATTTGGCGTGATTGAAAAGCCAGTCAGCCGAGCCTGTTTCCACTTAGCACACAGGAGCTGGCCGGTTTTGTTCTCGGGGAACGAAGGTGTCTCAGGGAGCTCCACGGAGCCATTGGTTGTTCTCCTTTAACACCACGCCAGGCCATGCTGTGAGCTCTGCCCAGCTGCCTGCAGTGAGCCGTTCCCAAGGACCAGGCTGTTCCTTTGTGCCTGCAGAGGCAAGTCTGTAGCACTGATTCAACTCATTTACTTCTTTGCTTTCACTAGTCATTTTCATAGGGCAAGGAAATGAAATCATAAAAGCTGCTGCCCTTCTTCCAAGTTCCTGCTGATAGCTGTGTGTTCTTCTATCACTGTTCATTTTCCATAGCGAGTATACGTTTCCATACTTACATCCTAGACATCAGAGCAGCCACACGCTGACTTTTCAGAGCAGTTACTCTAATACTATAGTCTCCACACAAACTGGGGTGTCTTCTCTAAGTGTGCGCTGTGCACATAACAGATAGAGGTGGGAAAGTAGGGTAAAGCCTGAGACAAATCTGTTTCCAGAAGTCAGTAGTTTTCCATGGTCTGGGTGGCTAATAGCACCTGTACTAAGGAAAAAGAGGGAAATTGTGGTTGGTGGTTGTTGTTGATATTATTATTAAGATGATGTGTTTTGAGAATAAGAAAATAGTAATAGTTGCAAATGTTTGGTAAAAGTTTTCTTTTTTTTTTCTTTTTTTCCTTTTTTTTTCCTCTTCTTTTTTCTCTTTTCTCTTTCTCTTTTCTCCTCTCTTTTCTCTTTCTCTTTTCTCCTCTCTTTTCTCTTTTCTCTTTTTTCTCTTTTCTCTTTTTTCTCTTTTCTCTTTTTTCTCTTTTCTCTTTTCTCTTTTCTCTTTTCTCTTTTCTCTTTTCTCTTTTCTCTTTTCTCTTTT